CAACAAAACAAAAAACCAACAGCAAACTGCAGAGACCAAGCAATTTTAAAAGAATCTGCTCTCTTCTGAGATGAGGACAGGGTTAAATAAATGGAGTTTTCCTCTTTTGTGTTTGTCCCTCATAAACTGGAATTTATCCTAAAAAAAGAAGTAGCTCCCGTGACCTCAGAAGTCATCCTTCAGATAACACCCTCCCCAAATTATAAATAAGCCCCAAAATAAGAACTAGAACTGAAAGAGCTAGTACCATGCTAGTACACCTGTTTGCTTTCAAACGTGCCTGGGCCGGGAACAGCCGTCAAATGAGTTTCCATTAAGAGTCGTCTGCTACGCTGACTTTTTAAAATGGGTGCTCAAACTAGAATTAATCCTATTTTAAGCTTGTCAGTTCTGGTAAAGAAAGAGACATGGAATATAAAGGGTAGAAAGATGTTCAAAAGTGGTCTGAAACACTTCCATATTCACGAGCACACCTTCACGACACTCTACAGCACTGAGGGGAATTGAAGCAAGTACAAAAAGCCTTGCCAAAAACTCACTGGTACAAAGAGGAAAACCACAGAAAAACCTCCCTACACATTCCTGGGAAGAATACGTTGTTTTCTGGAATATTTGTATCAACTTGATGTTAATACAGATATAGATTCAAGCATATCTGTCTTAAACAGGATTTCTTAATACCAAAAGCAAGTAGCAAAGAAAGCCAGAGCCTCAGTGTAAACAACTCTGTGTACAACTTCATCCTAGGTCACCTATGAAAAAAAAACCCCAGAAAACTACATTTTTGTCCTATTTTCTTTTTTTGTTGTCTTTAAAGCTTTGTCTACAAATCAGTTACAGAGCCCACCAAATCTGACTGTAAAATAACTTTCTCCATCTTAGCTAATAGATAAATGTGGACAAGTTTTTCTTTACAGTGTACATGGGGTGACCTCAGACTTCACAGGAAGAGGAAGACGGGTGATGGGATAAAGCTGGACATACTCTCAGAGAATCAGGAACAAGTCTGCAGCTTCCTGCTTCACAAGTCTCGTCAGCCAGTTAATCATTTCCCTTGTACTGGCTTATTTTTTTTTAATGGTTTTTCAATGTTTGTATTTTTTTATTTACATTTTATTATACCCTATGAAACTAGGATTATAATAGCGTGGCTGGCTGGAATTTAGTCCAAGTGTGGGCATCACGAAATCTACCGTGAGCTGACCTGAGTATTCTCTCTCAGGCTGCTGTCTGAATTCTTATCTCATAAAAATCTACCAACAAACCGTACTACTGTAACCAGGCTTGTTTTACTTTTTAATTTTTTTAAAAGGTCTTCTTCTATCAATATATACATCTATTTTGCACCCAATCACAAAAATACTTCCCACGCAAAATAAGCCATTTCCTAAAATCAAAAATGAAACTAAAATATCTATTAAAAACCACAAGAAAATGTCATCATTTAACAACGTGATTTAATTGTATTTTATGACCCATACTTAGGGAGTAATTTCATATTTTGGGTAAATGGCTGTTTCTCAGTCTAACTATAATAAGGAATATTAAATAACACTAGCCTCAAAAAAAAAAGTATGAAAAGGACATACTTATTTCATACATTTATGGTAACTAGGAGAATCCGTGAATCTAGGTCATATATATCCCTCATTTCATCCTGATAGAAAAAAAAATAAAACACCACAAAACACACATACTCCCAAGTGTTCCACCGGGATCATAATGGATTCACTCTACCCCAGGGCGGGGGTGGAAAAAATAAAACCTCCCAAATAGTTTGTACTATTTACACTTAAAAGCAACATAAGACCTGTATCTGCCCCTAACTTCATTCATTTCTAGTTTACAAAAATGTGAATTTTTAAACCGTTCCTTTAAAAGTGGTTGGCAAAACAAATCTTTTGTAAGTCTATTATGTGAGCTTTATTTATCTGAGGCCTATGTTTTTACTTGAGCAAGTCAACAATAAAAAGTGAAATGGCAAGGTTTCTACCAAGAATAGGAAAAAATTATTATTAAAGGTAAAACTCAACTACAAACTTGAAGGCAGTGAATGAATATAAATATTTGCGTTAAGAGTCACTTTATTATTGGTGAAATTTAGTCCTTTCTTCTCTCTGATAAGCTTTTATCTCTAATATATATAACCATTCTCTCCTAACATCATCATCACCATTATTATTGTTATAATAAAATACCTTCTTAAAATGAGTAGGATAAATAAAATTTTTTATATATATATATAACCTCTAACATTAACCTGTAATATGTCAGCATCTTAAAAATTTTCATAGCAGTAAAATGTTTGTAAAAGGAAAAAAAAATTATTTGGAGAAAACACACCCAGCACAATTCCCTAGTAATCTAGAATTTCCCAATTCACTGTGTAAGCAACTTAAATAAGGCTCACATTTCCTGATCTAACAAAATCACCAAAAGGGGGGGGGGGAAATAAAGATTTCTGGGCCCTTCCTATACTCTTAAGTAAGACGTAAATTAAGAATGATTCTTTGTATTGCAAAGGAATATTCACTTTTCCATTTTAGCTAATTGCTATCTGCCAAAATTGCTTACTAGTTTTCACACCCCATGATTTTAAAAATAAGATGTCCTTTCTAATATTCTTCATCTACAAACATTTTAAATGGCCAGAAACATTCAAACACAAGCCTGTAAAAAAGCAGCTCTCTCATCTTATCCTAAAACCGAACAAACATCACCAAGTGATATCGCTCCGTGTCGGAATCTCGAAATTCTCAATTGTATTTTAAATATGTGCTCTTACAGAGCTCAATCGGTTTAATTTTTTGCCCCCTCTCCAGAGTTAAATTTGTAAAAAAGGCTGTCCGAATGCAATAACGGCTCAAGGCTCCTGGTTTAACTCTGTTCCAATGAACAGATCCTCGCCCTACAATTAAAGCCCATGATCTATGCAAGGTCCATATTGCAAGGTGGTCGTCCAAGACCCCAATTTCGCAAATGCTCGCTGCGTTTTGCGAGCAGACAGCATGAGCACGCCTTCATACACTTGATCCTCTTATTAATAACGACGATTCCTCCTAAACGAGGCTTTAAATCACCGTCAACCTTACATCTGCTTGCAATCGAGCTCACTTATTATTTGTGGCAAGGATTTTTGTGACTGTTCCGCCGAGCACTTCTATTTACATCAGCAGTGCTAAATGCCCAATGGTGAAAGAGGAGCCAATCAGATGGCAGATTAGATGTCAACTCGGAGGCAGCTGTCTGGAGACTATTACAGCCAGTTTACCTCCACAATTCAAATTCCAAACCTCGCAAAAGAGATCAAGTCGGTCTTGAGGCTCAGCCTACCAGCAAGGAACGGAGAGCGCGCAGGACGCTCCCCGAGCGCGCACAAGGGCTGGGGTGGCCTCGCCACACGGCAAAGCCAGACCAATCCCGTCCCCGAGGCTCCCCCGCCACTGGCCTGGCACCTCCCTGGGTCTCCCTAATAAAAGGATTGTGCGATCCGCCACCAAAACAAGCTCGATCCGTGCCAACTGGGGGCTCTGCGCACAGCCTCGCCGCCCTGAAGGTGACTCCTTCCGGGCTGGCCCTGCGGCGAGGCGGGGACCTCCCCGGCCATTCTTAGCCCGCGATCGATCGATCGATCGAGCCGAGGGTCTGAGCGTTCCCCCCCACCACCACCACCTAATTGCACATTCCGGGTGGTTATTTTCGCTCCCCAACATCCAGCCCCATAGGCCGCGGCCGGGCACCCCCACCCCCACCCGGACGCCCCGAGTCTGGGGCGCGTGGCCGCCCGGCGTGTCAGGAAGCTCGCCGCCCTCCGGGCCGCGCGCCCCGCTCGCAGGGGGAGAAAGTTCACGGTCCCCGAGTTACAGCGCCGCGAGAGCGCCCAGCCGCGGGGACCCAGCCACCCGTCCCCGCAAGCAGACCGTACGGTCCGGGGCCCCGCTTTCCCCCAGCCGGGCCCGCGGCCGGTTCCCCGCACGGCGTCAGCGCGGCCGAGCCAGGCCCCGGCGCCCGGGCGGGTGTCGCCTGGCGGGGGCCGCCGCCCGGGCGGACATTGTGTGCACCCCGGCCTCCTGGGCGCGGCGGGGCCCCGTGCGATGGCTCAGGAATCCGGCCCCCGCCTTCCCCCGGGAGCGGACGGAAGAAAAGTAAACCCGAAAGAAAGAAAGAAAGAAAGAAAGAAAGAAAGAAAGAAAACTAGGGCCGCGGGCGCGCGAGGCGGCCGGGCGGAAGCAGGCCCGGGGCGCGTTACCTGCGCTCGGCCCAGGGGCTGGCCGGGGTGGCCGGGGCTCATCGCCGGGTGGCTCCTTTGTTGCGCGGCCGCCCAGGCCGGGTTGGCGGCGGCGTACTGGGCGCCCATGTCCTTGCCCAAGCCCATGCCCGCGGCCGCCTGCTGGCCGCCCGCCGCCCCCGCCTGGGACTGGGACTGGGGCTGCGACGGCGGCGGCGGCGCGCCGGGGCTGCTGTAGTCGGGGTAGCTGGCGCCGTAGCTCCGCATCATGGGGCTGGGTGAGGTGAGCAGTTGGTTGAGGGTCGGGGTGGCCCCCGACGGGTGCTGACTCTGCCCGGCGAAGCGCTGGAAGCCCCCCGCCGCCGCGCCGGCGGTCGCCTTGCTGAGGCTCGCGGCCCCGCCGCCCCCGGGGCCCATCATCATGCCGCCGCCCTGCTGCCGGGGGGAGCTCAGCGCCCCGAAGCCTGCGGACGAGCCCCCATAGCCGCCGCCGCCGCCTCCTGCTGCTGCCGCCGCCGCGGCCGCCGCCGCCACAGCTCCCGCTCCTGCTCCTCCTCCTCCTCCTCCTCCTCCACTGCCTCCTCCTCCTCCGCCGCCGCCGCCGCCTCCCGCGCCGGGCCGGCTGTAGCCCGGATAATGGTTGTACTGGCTGCCGGGGTACCCTTCGTGGGAGTTGTGCAGGGGCTCCATGCCGCTGGGTGCTCCGGCGGCGGCTGCGGCGGGGTGCATCATCCCCATCCCGGGGCTTTGTTGTCCGCCATGTTGATCAAAGCCAGGCCCCGCTCGGCCGCCGGGGCCGCCGCCGGCGGGGGCCGCGCCACCGT